TGCGGACGTGTTTTGCTTCTGCTCTTGCTATTTGGTTTGTTAGTGGTTTTAACATGGACTCTTGCGGAAAGTGTGGCAAATCATTTACGCGAAATGATACCTTGATTGTGCCGTGCAGTGGTTTTTGTCAAAAACAATTTCACCGTACTTGCTGTGTGGGCCAAATATCAGAATATGATGTCAGACTATTTAACCAGAATAAGCATATCTGCTATCTTTGCCCAGAGTGTTTGTTATTGCCTGCAAAATTAACAAGGTCTTTGGATCTTTTCATGGCTACGCATAAAAATGGCTTAGACTCTATCGTAACCACAATAATGGACCAATTTGGTGACATTCATAAAGAAATTGCTTTAATAAATCATAAAAACTGTGAACACAACAAAAATGTTTCATCATGTTTAAAAACTTTATGTACAGAATTCGGTGCCCTAAAGGATGTTGTTGCTAATTCTAAATCAACTGCTAAGGTGAACAACAACAAGAATAAGTTAAACGGTTTTCCTGACCTACGGAGAGCGAAGTCACCAACCTCGGCTATGGAGAGATCTGAGAGTTCTGCGATTGTTAACAATGCACTTTCTCTTACTTCAGCGGAGGTGGATAATAATATTTCTTCAGATGCTTTGCCGTCGGCTTCTCAACAAATGCGATCTGCATTATCAGCTAATATGATAACTGCACATAATGCTTCTTCATCTTCTCCTGCTGACGTGAATAATGTCATTTCTGTCGCTTCGTCATCAGCTTCTAAACAGATGCCGACTGCGTTATCAACTGCTTTGCCGTCGGCTTCTCAACAAATGCGAACTGCATTATCAGCTAATATGATAACAGCAAACAATGTTTCTTCATCTTCTTCCGCTGACGTGAATAATGTCACTTCTGTCGCTTGGTCATCAGCTTCTAAACAGATGCTGACTGCGTTATCAACTGCATTGGCTACTGTTACTAATACATCTTCACCTTCCACTGCTGTTATCAATGCTACTCCCAATGCTTTGCCCTCTGCATCAAAACAACTGCAAACTGTTTCGTCAGATATATTAAATGCATCTACCCAGCCGCAACTCGGTGCTGATTGGATCACTGTTCCGCGAAAGAAAGTGCCCAAGCGGAAAAATATCGTGGTTGGCCGTAATGAAAATAATGATCTGGGAGTATTTTCGCCTCTTAAGTGGCTCCATTTATCATCGTTCAAGCCAACGGTTTCGGAAGTCGATATTATTAATTACGTGTCGAAGCAAGTCATCGTTGATAAGCAACAAATTGCCTGCTATAAATTGGTAAAGAAGGATACAAATGAGACATCACTAAAATATATCAACTTCAAATTGGGAGTTCCTGAAGATGTATATTTTAATTTGCTGAAGCCAGAAATCTGGCCAACAAATGTTAATATTCGACAGTTCCGTTTTTTTCAAAAACAAGGAGGGCAACCTCCTCCAAGTTAGTTGTTCCTCCTACGCATAATAATCCATTAAAAATCTATTTTCAAAATATCTCTGGCATGAGAACCAAAGTAAATGATGTTTATCTTGCTACAACTCATACGGATTTCGATGTTATTGTCTTAGTCGAGACATGGCTTAACGCGAATTTTTGCAATGAGGAGTTCTTCGACCGAAATTTGTTTTCAGTCTTTCGCAAGGATAGAGACAGTACAGCGACAGATACCACTCGTGGGGGCGGTGTTCTCATTGCTGTAAAAATTGGTATTGGCGCCGCAGTCGTTACCCTAAAAAATGCTGACTCTCAACTCGACCAGCTATGTGTATCTATTGATGGTGATGGTGCAAAACTATACATCTGCGTATCCTATATACCTCCTAACAGCTCAGAGAAATTATATAGTGACCATGTAGATAATATTTTAGATTTATCATCATTTTCAAATAAGGAAGCCCAATTGTGTCTACTTGGTGACTATAATCTCAGCAAAATTATGTGGTCATGCCTTCCGGATGATACTGTGCTCATTCCTAGTAATGTAAATTGCCCTAGTGAAATTTATTTAATAGACGGTTTCTATAGCTTACAATTAAGACAAATCAATCACTTTGAAAATGAGCTTAATAGGATTTTAGATCTTGTATTTATCTCATACGACCTTAGGTTTAAGCTATCCAGGTCAGATTGTCCAATATCTCCAACTGATAAGCATCATATCCCACTCATACTGGAGCTTGAGTTTTATGAGTATTCTGCCTGCCCACAAGAAACTCCCTTGTGGTCGAATTTTAATTATTCACGTTGCGACTTTGAGCATATAAATAACCTAATTTCTGGCGTGGATTGGGAAATCTTATTCTCGGAGTGTAGTCTCCCGGATTGTTTTGTTAAATTCAGATCTCAACTTGAACGAATTACTAGGGAAAACATCCCAACATTCTCCAACCGTGTTCATAAACTACCGTGGTATAATAGGAGGCTAAAAAAATTAAAGAATTTACGAAATAAATTTTATATACTTTTTAAAAATAGTGGTAGTATGCAGCATAAAGTGTTGTTTGAGAAATATAAGGCTGATTTCAATTGTTTAAACAAGTTTTTATATAACAAATACCTAATGGGTTTCGAAAATAACATCAAAACTAATCCAAAAGCTTTTTGGTCCTTTATCAACTCCAAGCGTACTTCATCGGCATTTCCAATTTCCATGCATTACGAAGGGAAGCAGTCATCCTCAATGAATGACACAGCAAATTTGTTTGCTGATTTTTTCAAATCAAATTTTGTAACTGATTATTCTTCGAGTGGTGAGGCTACCTACAATAATAGTCCTGCATCGTTAGATTTCGGATCTTTGATGTTATCGGAAGATGATATTTTTTACGGTATAAGAAGCTTAAAGACCTCCAAACTAGTGGATGTTCATAAAATCTCGTCTTATTTTCTTAAGCAATGCATCGCATCTATTTCCGAGCCATTGTTTCTCTTATTTAACTTATCACTAGCGTCAGGTCATTTTTTGGATGATTGGAAAATCACCTCTGTGTCTCCTATTTTTAAAACAGGTGACAAAAGTGACATTTCGAATTATCGGCCTATTTCTAAGCTTCCTAATATTGCGAAATTATTTGAAAAAATTGTTAGTAGTAAACTTTCATTTGCCATTAAACAATCAATATCCCCCTCTCAACATGGGTTTGTACCAGGGCGCTCTACCGTGACTAACCTAGCCGTTTTTTCAAATTATTGTATATCAGCGTTTGTGGGTGGCTACCAGGTTGATACCATATACACTGATATATCTAAAGCTTTTGATCGCGTGTCACATAATTTACTCCTGCAAAAGTTAAAACATTTGGGTATTCACTCAAGCTTTCTGTCCTGGATAAAGTCTTATCTTTGCAATAGAGTAAATAAAGTTGTTGTCGATGGGATTAGCTCCTCCCCTTTTACTGCGACCTCGGGAGTTCCGCAAGGAAGTATTTTGGGTCCTTTGTTCTTTGTTCTCTTTATGAATGATTCCAGTGCTTGTTTTAAACATTGTGAATACCTGTTATACGCAGATGACCTGAAGGTTTTTAAAAAAATTGAAAATGCCTCTGATATTGGTGTTCTTCAAGCCGAGCTTAATAATTTTTGTGAGTGGTGTTGTCGTAATAAATTAACACTTAATACAAATAAATGTTTTTCTGTAACTTATTGCAAGTCTCGTTCCCCCTTACTATCGTCTTACTCTATTTCAAATGTTGTCCTGAAGTTGAGTACCAAAATTAAGGATCTAGGTGTCGTGTTTGATTCAGCGTTCTCATTTGTCGAACATATCAATTATATTATTCCCAAAGCGTTCTCGTCATTAGCTTTCATTAAGCGAAATAGTGCCCATTTCAAGGACCCCTATACAAGAAAGCTTTTATATAATGCGTTTGTCAGGTCCAAACTGGAATATGCCTCTATAATATGGAATCCTTCTTACGAAGTTCACCATAATAGGATTGAGCGCGTACAAAAATGTTTTTTAAAATTTGGTTTGGCTCAAATTAGGTTTGATAATCCTACTCCACCATATATATCTCGCTGCAAGTTGATTAGCTTGCAAACTCTACGTAGTAGGCGGACTATTTCGGGTCTGTTGTTTTTGCATGATATTCTGAGTGGGGAAATTGACTGCCCCTCCCTATTAGATCGCATTAAACTCAATGCTCCAATGAGGATGCTACGCCAACTTGATATGTTTTCGATTGACCTATGTAAGACTAATTATGCTCTAAATGAACCAATTATAAGGATAATGAGTGATTTTAATGCTTTATGCAAAGTGTACAATGTTAACATTTTTGCCAATAGGATAGAATTTAAGACAACCTTGTGTACATGTTATTCTTAATGTTACAGTTTATTAATGTTTTTTTTTTGTTATTATAGTCTGTAAGATTATACTAATCATAGACTCCAATAAATAAATAAATAAATAAATATTTAGGGTCGACTCAATGAACTCAAGAGGTTTGCAGTCGAATCGCTAATGGATTTTTTTTTTTTTAAAGAGAACTGACAAGTGTTTAAAATTTGAAACGATATCGTATGTGACGATTCGAGCCTGGGGCTTGTATTACTCGTCACATAAAAACACATTTTTCGCATTATGACATACGTGAACGTACTCTTTGTCCCATTCAGCTTATACTGCCTGAAGTGTCACGTAATTTTCTTTCGTATGGTTTTCGATCCGTAAACGGATGTTACAAAATAATATTGGAAAATCGGAACCAAAAAGAAAACGAGTAATTTTTAAGCAAAAAACCAAACCGGCTTCAATTCTCATATACAAATTTAAGATTGTCGTTTTCTTCATGATCCAGTGATCGGATTTAAACCAAATTAGAATGCGACACCCTGTGAGTTAACACCTTTCCTTTATAAAAAAAAATTATAGAAATCGGTTAAGGTGGTCCAAAGATATACGGTAAAATACATAAAAAAAAATATTGCGACGAATTGATAACCTTCTCCTTTTTGTGAAGTCGGTTAAATAAATCTCATAAACTGAATATTTTCAACTTAAAATCTAGTTTATTTGTTGACAATGTATAAAGGTAGATAACAAAACGAAACGGTCAGTATAATTTCAAACTAACAACATGCTATACTGCTTCAGCATCTTCAGTTTTATTTTTGTCCTCTCGTCTGTGCATTTGATTTTCATTTTCCAACCACATCCTTACAAACTTGTCATATTCTCGTTTGCTACGACACACAATTACTAAACTCGAAGGTCGGCAACCATAAGACTTTAATTCTTCTATGCGTTGCTTTGTAGTTTTCAAACCGTGGCATAAAATACGGGGCACATTTGCAATTTCGTGGCGTGTGAAACCCTCTTCATTTAGAAGATAGTCAAGTACCTCTTTGACCTAAGATATTTTAAAAATAATATTCAGTTACCTATTTATTATTTGAACTTACCTTTGTTACGCGTACTCGCATAACAGATGGGTGCCGTGCCATTATACATTGTGTGCTTTCTACATCGAATCCCAAACGTTCAGCTACATATTCCACAACACTTTTTTTCTCTCCAAGCACAGCAAGGTCGTCTAACGTGAGCTTGAATGATCTGTTATGCCGTTGAATAACAAATCAGGGGAAAAATTGCTTTTAGCAGCGTGATAAACACGTATGTATGTATGTACGCATAATTGTTCTCTAAAAAAAATTATAAAATTGATAGTATTTCACCAACCTTTGCAGTATAGGCTCCGGGCAACGAACCATCCAAGGCATTATTTTGTCTTTCTTAGCTCGTTTCGCTCGCTCCAAACGTAGTTGCACAGATTTAGGCGTGTATCGAAAAGCCCAGAGATCTTTCAAAATATTTTGAGGAGAAACATTGTAGTTTACCATATGTTGCAGATTCTGCTCCAGCATGTCGAAAGGCATTTCCAGGATGAACAGACGTTTTGACAAATACTTTGTGACAAGTTTAGGATCGGTTTTCAGCATTTCGCTAATATAATAAACGCGATTTCCTTGCGGTACCACATTCGCCTCCCTTTTCATAATAGACACAATTTTACGAAGTCGTGGCAGGGTCAAACGTAAGAAGGGCACGAAGTGGTTAAGATCACGTAGTGCAATTGTTTTTATCAGCGCAAGTTTATCCTGTAAACGTACTGAAATTAAACATTTTTGAGAAATTCACGTTATGGAAGAGACTTGCCAGACAAACCTCTATCAAGTGTTATTAACCATGGATAGTTCAAGAAACTTTCCTTTGTTACTCCTTCCAAGCAAAGCATTTCCATTGTGCAAACAAGTGTACGATGGTGAAATGATCTTTTTACCACTTCATCCTTTAATATGCGATCTATATCTTTATCAGATAGCCGGAAGTGCGTTCGCAATGCCTCCACAAGTGCATAGCGCCGCGGTTTCTCTTGATCTGTATTGTAAGGTGTAATGTACTCCGGTCCCCTTTCACAAGCATCTGAATCGTTTGGCAAACAGGCTAAAGTGGACTCTGCAACTGTTGTTTCTTCTATGCTGGTCGAATTCAGGTTAGCTGATGAACGCACTGTGCAAAGTAGCTTCAACTGCTGCGCGGAGCTCCCTGCAACTTTGCGGCTGCCTGTGGGCAACCTTGATGCAGTAAACGTTGACGTACTGTGCGAATTTAAAGATAATGCGCGATTAAATTGTCGAAATATCTGCCTAATCATTTTAGGTTTATATTTTTTTAGTTAATTTCAATTTTCCGATTTGCAAGTGTAACCACACATAACTGTAAACAGCTGATGGAGGTACTGCCAGCACTGAACTATTTTTAAATTAGCCTTGCCACCTTAACACTAATATTAGGGTTGTTCTCGTACTGAAAGTACTCCAAAATTTTTGCCAACAGTAAAGCTCGTAAATTTACGAGCTTAGTAAAAGAGCTATCAAAATTTGTATGAAACCCTATTTACAAGCCCCTCGTAAATATATGAAGCAAATTTTATGCGCAAACGACCTCGTAAACTTCAGTGTAGCCGAGGGGCCAGAATTTGTATACTAAAATGTATGATAAAATAATGAAAAAAATAATACGCGAATAAAATGAGTGAACTTTATCCACTAACTGTATTGACTTAGGTTTTCTGCTAATTTTCGGCAATTGTATTTTAGCCAAGAGGGATAGAGACAAGACAGCGGGATGTTAGGGAAAATACTACGAAACAAAAATTGCTTCACAAAATCCTGGCTGATCTGTCAAACAGTCACTTTACGCACCTATTTACATCTGTTCGGAAAGGGGGCGTTCCCATGAAAGCCTCATACACTTACGAGTTTTACACGGTTTAAGTCTTAACGAGTTTAAGGGAATCCCCTAAATAATTAAAATATTCCCGTACTCCAGGATTAGCAGATTTTACAGGAAAAGCTTTTTCTCTTCCACTAGCAAGCAGAACTTAATTCAATACTTGAACAGTGTAAAACCCGGTAATAGGTAAAAAATAGTGATGTGTAAGCAAATCAATGTTGCCAAAGTCTTCGCTTTTCGTGTACTCTCTAATTTCCGTTAATTTAAATTCTGTTGAGTTTGACACTTTTCAAGATTTTGGCAGCAAAAATTCTTCTGACACGGTGTCCCTTAAATCAGACTACTTAGGACTGAAGAGAGTCACTCTCACTGACGTTGTTCTCTCATTTCTGCTGTCATTCACGAGTTAAGAAACGCTTTTTGGACTAAATCTGACTAATTCGGACTATTTCTGACGATTTCTGGGAGATAAGTAACGCAACTAACATAAACCATGATAAAAATATAGTAAGGTAGAACCGCTGAGAGTTACTTTTAAAATTCTTGGCGTTTCCAAACATTTTAATTCTTAAATTCACTCACAAACTCACACAAACATTTTCATTTTCAATCTCAAGCAACAGCAATTTCGAACAATTTCAATTTTTTATTTTCAATTTCATATGATTTTAAAATGCTGGCAAACTTCAAAAAAAAATTATGGCCGACAAATTGAGACAACGGTTCTACCTTACTATGATTTTATCATGATCATCGATATAAACAATACATTTATATTTCCTCAAACAAAAACTATCGATAGTGGAAACGACCATTCGATAGTGTAAAAAATGTATCCATTCGATAGTATCAATCGTACGATCGATAGATTTACAGCTCTAGCCAGAGTGTCCAGATTTGCCGATTTTTTTTTTTTTATTTGATATTTGCTCGTAAAAATTTAGGAAATCGCCATTGGCGATTTTTGGAGATTTTTTTCCCTTCAAATAAATTTTGTCCTATAATAAAAATATACAAAACTTAGTTTTCCACTATCATTTTACAGAAGAGGCTATGACGTGAAAAACTTGACTTATGAAGCATAACTAAAATAAAAGACTGTCAAAAATTCTTAGTCACCCTAATCGAAGAAATTTTTAAACGATTACCTAGTCAATTAAATACTTTTAAAAAAGTTTTGCTTTTGTCACCAGACAAGTGTTTGAATCACAAGAGAGCGAGTTTCTGGGACCAGCCAATTCACTATTTGACTTTGAAGGAATGAAAAGCAGCTGAAACTGAATATTTAAGGCTGCGTTTCTCCAAACTCATTTGAGTGGAAATTAACTTTAATTTACCTTCTTATTAAAATTCTCATTTAAATTATTTTCAGTTTCAATAAGCCCTTTATTTAAGTGAGTAAAAAGTGGTGTTAAAACCGACTTTGCCAGTGAAAGCTTTCAGCGTGAGAGCTCTTGAAAGATTTGGCACGCTGTGTTGTAAAAGCAGGGCTGGTATACAAGTAAGCAGCAAGAATGATAGAATACAAGATTACGCCGTCCTGGGCGTTGACATTTGTGTACCACAAGTAAACAAAGAATAGAGCGAAAAGAAGAACGAGTTGAAACTACCAAAACAGTTCACTTTACAGCGAAAAACGTGTTTTAATTTTGCTAAATGCGAAAATATTGCATTTTTCTCCTAATCTATTAGAGAACAGTGAACGTTTTAGTGCACTCCATTGCTTTGCAGCAGCATCTCTGCGGGATTGATTAGTTAACTTGCTAATGGAGGCTGCGTGGAACAGAAACAACATCATTGTGAGGAAATGCTGTTAATATAATAATAGATAAACATTTCGGGAACGGCTTTGCCGTGCCTTATGTACACAAAATGCAGGGATTCGTCTCAGCGCTACACTTGCATCTATGCTTCTTGCATCTTGACGGCTGTCGCAATATAACACACAGCACTTCATTGTATTAGTTTTTACGCAGTGTTCAACTCAAAAATCACTCACAAATTGCAAATTAACACAATTTAGACTGATTTTTCACTTATAATTCAAATTTCTCTTTCGCTGATTTGTAGACAAAGGGTTATTTACTAGTTACCACAACTGTCAAAATCGGCAAAACCAAAGTAGCGGTACCACTGACGGCGCCACTTTTGTTCGCTGCACCGTGGGCGAGCCCGTCTCCAGACGGTCTTGGTTTTTCTCCCCTGTAGGGAAAAGTTACCATCACAGATCGAAATAGACATCAGTTTTGGATTTCTCGTACTAAAATCACCCATTCCTGAATTTTTCAACTCATAAAAAAATTGGCCTACTAGAGGGTTAATTCCGTACTCGGGGGTTACCATTCTCAAATTTTCCCAAATTGGCGACTTTTGGCGATTTTTTTTTCAGAAATTACGCTTTTTTAACTACCTGGATAGCCTGGCTCTAGCTCACAGCTGTTTAACTGTTCCATTTGGCCATTGCCGCGTTTTCTTTTATTTACCTCAGAATCCATTCCATAAAAGCACCTTGTTTTCTTAAAAAAAAGTATATTTTCCTTTTAATTAATTCGAAACATATGTATGTCGGTTTAAAATATTTTAAACATGGCTTTGGCTTATGATATGTGCTCTTCGCGTTGCTGCAATATCTGTCTTTTGTTGGAAGTGGAGAAACAATCCAAAGGAGCTTCACCATCAAAGGAGCCAATGCCTCAGAAGTTGCACAAATGCAGTGGCTGTCAGCTAGTAATGTATTGCAGTCAAGAGCATCAGCGTATGGATTGGCAACTGCATCGTGGTTTTTGTCGTGCCATCAGCCAAATTATGAGCAATTATCAGATCAAGCATCCATACCTTATAAGTGGACAACCTCATGATAGTTACACAATGGAACGCGCTATACTTCAAGTTAAGTACTTGCTACGCACCTTACTTGGTCGAAAACTCGAATATCACGAAGAGGAACTGACTTCATTCCCAGCATATTGCGAAATTTGTTACCATTTAGAACGCGTACAAAGTTGCACTCGCTGTCATGGTGTCTCCTATTGTTCACCGCAACATGCTGCTCAGGACAGCGAACGTCACAAGGCCCGATGTGGTCTTCTTCAACTATACTACTGTCCATACAAAGTACAACCACAAATGTCGCCCGATATGTTAGTGGAAGATTTACGCACACCAGTAGACGATGTCCTAACTATGGACTTGAAGCAAGCCTTCGAGCATATAACCTCGCGCAAGCTACCTAAAGTGCCAACAGCCTCAATGAAAAACTATCAGCTCTTCTCATGTGCCGGAGATTTCAGTTGTATTGGCACCATTTGTTTCACACTCAGATTCACTGAAATGGCTGAGTTCAAAGGAAATAAGTTTGCCATTTTCATCTTGGGCGCTACAGTAGAACAAGACCTTTGGTTTCGCCAAATTCACACAAAATGGTTTTTCTTGCAGTTCAAACAAATAACAAGACTGGAGCTGTATTTCATTGGTCCAGAAGTATTAGGAGCCGCAAGACGAGAAATTACCTATAATTATATGGTAAGATAAGGGCTATATTTTAAAATCATAAAATGTATTATACTTTTCATAAATTTATGCAGGGTGCTGATCGCACTGTGTTGTACACAAGTTATCGTATGCTGTTCCAAGAATTCACCAAGGAGACCCGTCTGAAACCTTCATTGATAGCTATTTTCAATTGTGGTTTCTCCGAGCATGCCCCATCGACAGTAGCAGAGCAGAAGGAGCAACGTGAACGAACGGGCATACCAGGTGATGCATGCGCCACCAAGGACACATGGTCACATGGCATTTTAGAAATGTTGCAAACCTACGATTTGCCAATACTCTTCACCTCGTTAACACGCCTTGAGGCAGACTTTGATTATGGCGCCATTTTGCGAGTAGCTCAAGCCGATCGTCTGGAAACGCGAATCAAACGTCTTTTCGATGTTAAGAAAAATCCTTATCGTGATCTCCGTCCACTGAGAAACTGGCAAAACCAAAATGACGATGATATATTTTACCGAAACGGCTATGTGCAAGCGGTGATATCACAAATTGCCAAATGAGCGCTTGTAGTGCTGGAGCGTACTTTGGGTGTAGAGTGCAATTTTTTATGGATTTTATTTTAGCGAAACACTGCATTTATTTTCACTCTATTATATACGTACAAATTTAAAGTGGTTTAAACTTTAAAGAAATATTTTAAGCATTTATTAGAATATAAGATAGATATTTACATTTGAAGACTGCGCGTTTAGTTTTACAAAGCACATTGTTGATGTAAGAATACATGTACACACGTATCTGCTTATAGTTTAAATGTGGGTTTAGTTCTAGACTTAAGATTTTTAGTAAAAACTTGGACAAATTATATTGTGTTTAATTGTATTTAGATGTTATGTGAAAAGGTAAATATCTAAATATACAGTATTGGACATATCTATAGCACCCCCCTTTCAAAGCAATATTGTTTGCCTCTTATGTTTAATTATTTGTTTTTAAGAATTTTC